ATACGAGAGCGGCACATATCTTGTAGTAAAGTGTTTATTTAATAAAAGTATTTTCATTTTCATCACGAGTGAAAACTTAACTCTAAACAAAATAAAAATATAAACTTATTTTACTCAAAAATAAAAATGTGTCCGTGAGGCAAAGAGGCGAGGATGCTGGCTGCATTTCCTTGCTGAATAGTTAGTTTAAAAAAAATATGTTTATTGAAATACATAAATACCTACTTGGACAGAAAATCACGTTTCGAGTGAAAATATATTTTACATTCATTACAAAGAGCTCGAGTTTAAAATGTTATTGTTAATAGGTAGTTACTGATGGCTCAGAATATTCAAGTATCTTACTTAATGACAGTCGTAGACTAGTTAGTCACCAAGTGACCTTTACCAGATTCGTTGCTATGCTGTTCTTTTCTACTTGCAAAATTACCTGTTTGACGACTGACATTCTTTAAAATTATAATGATCTAGTCTTTTCAATACACTTCTGAAGGTTATAAGTGGGTGTGGTGTACATTGGACTACAGCTAGGGTTGCCAGACATGTTTGGCTTTTTACGGTCGTGGTGTCCAAATATTCTGTCGGCCTGTCTGGCTTTTGTTAGGCTTTTATGTGGCATGGCATCAGGGCAGTGCCTTATGTGCTAACTTTTGAAGATTAGCAAATTAACATGGTAACACCAGGCATCACGTGTCGGGGGGCACAACAAAAAAATTGCTACTTTGCTTTTATCTGCGAATTGACACGGTGAATGTCCGGCGTTTAGGACAAAATGTCCGGCCAAATTAAGCACTGAGTCCGGCTTTTGTGGCAACCCTAACTACAGCAGAAGTTTAAAAATATAAATGCTGACGATGAAAGCAGTTAAAACAATAAAAGCTTATAACTATCGTTTATGTTTGTATGAAACGGGGAATCGTGATAAGCGTGTTCTATACAACTTATTTTAATTAATGTTTCGAGTTTTAAAACGCCTGTTTATATTTATGGGATTAACAATGCTCTGCTGATCACGCAAACGATATCAAATTATTTTTTCTTTCTACCAGGAGTTATTCAAGTATTGTTACGGACAGTGGTTTCATAGAGATTTCAATTTTCTTGACACATAAGTGTAATGGTCAGACAACAGCAAATCGCTCTTATCACAACGACATAAGATGACATAGTGTTTACGTTAATGTGCTGTCGTCTACATCCTGGTGACTGGTATTTTACCGCAAATCCGAGAACTCCGTTCAATAACATAAAAATATCAGATTACGCTCAGGGTCAAAGTCGAGATATCCGTACAATCCACTCCAAAGTCCAGTATACAGGCAACAGCACACCAAGTCTGTGTCGACTGTACGAATAAGACTAGACGCAGGCTAAGTTGGGCCCGATTTTAATTTGTATGAAGAATCGGCGTAATGTGCGCACTTCCATACATGCCCATACTGATGAACTACCCGACTAAACTATCGGCCGACAAAAAACGATGTTCTGCGCCTAGTCTAAGTCCGATTCTTCTACAAGCCGACATATCTACAGGCTTGTTAACGTCCGACTAAACAATGCTATGATAAACGTGTTGTAACTTGTAAGTGATTCGGAGCGGCATTGACCGCAATACCCGAAACCTTCTACATTGAAGTGAGCGCGGAAGGTTAATCACTTACAGATCTAACAGCGGAGTTGCATTGCGACTGTCCAAAGTACGAGTATGTGAATAAATCTGTCAAGTCATCTATGATTATTTTAGATCCTAACGCCCGTATTCACAAACATTACTATGAGGTCTTGCAGTGCGCGTGTATCCACAGAGTGACACACGAACTAATCACAGAGCTCTATTCAACGCTGTGCGTTCGATTTGCTGCTTCACTTAAGCAAGCATAGTTTGTGAATATGGGCGAACAGTTTATTGCGCCAGAATAGACAAGTATACCTCCCCGAAACCGTCTGACAAGCTGGGGAGTGTAGACCAAATCCTCCATCCTCTGCTAAATTAGAGAGGGTCGTCCCCTAATGGAGACTAAATGACATGATAATGATGATGATAGCTTAAAACAAAAGATTAGATCCTTGACTTGCGCCTTGCGTGTTTCAAAATCTTCCATATCGGACGAAAGCGTCGAAAAGTCTGTTATAACTATCCAAAATGGGAACCTTTTGATGATGATTTCCTCACCACTTAACGTGAGAATGGAACTCAGAACCGAAAGGTCAATTCTCTAACACTAAAGACCTAGAATATGCATGAGCATTATACTGAATCATAAGTACGGAAACGTTCTGTATGCTGTTAAGGGCTGTTTATTCGACGATTGAAGTGATTAGCGGTCATTAGCACTCCTTGACAATAAACGAACCTAAACTGACATTTAAAACTATCTTAGTCTTATGCTCTACTGCTAACCCTGCCAAGTGCCAATTCATGCCGCCATCTGATCAACCTTAAATTTATTGGGATATGAAATTACCTGTAACGTTTTGAACCTTGAACTACTACATTACAAAATAAATTATACTTCTAATATTTAATAGTTATTCAATACCACACGCGTAAGCAGGTTGGACTTTACCCGTTGCTATGAGTAACTGTGTAATTTTACCTTAACCAATGCGGAAAACGTCAATGTTAATATCAGCTAAATCAATTTGAATATTGCATAACGGTAACACCGTAACATGTAGTTATATTCTACTTACGTTTTATCACTCGCATGGTTACGTAATGTGAATAGTGACAAAATACTTTTTATTAACGCCCTGATGCTACTTAAGGTGCTAAAAAGACGGGTGATGAACTAAAATGACGATGGTAGACACACGTGAGCTACTAGGTAGACTGCCAGCTCATGCGTTAGCAAAGCTAGCACTTGAATGTAAGTTACTATGGATCGTTAGTTTGATCATTAATTTTATGAAACGTCTGAAATACGTTGACTCTTAAAAATAGAGGCCTTCACATTATTTTAGAATTTGCCTCAAAAAGTTTCTTGTAATAATTTATTAATCGTGGTCGACTGAAGCTACATGCGATTTTATTTACTTCTGACGTAAAATTAAATACGGGGAAACCGTTTCGCTTAGATAACGTGACATTTGTGTGCTCATGTTATGGATCCAATCGTGTTATTTGCTTTGGAGTTTACACCCATCAATACGTAACTTATTGACTCAATTCAGTGTCGCTTGCAACTGTATTATACCAACAGTTTTATTAAAATATCGTTTCCACCCCTATATAGGTTGTTATCATAGTCTCGAATCATGTTTTTGAAGATGGCAACATTTTACAGCACAGCGAGCTTCCTTTGAATATTTTAATAAATGTTCCAAACTACTGAACTTAGTAAAATATATTCAAATACTTGTTGACATAGCCTTCAGCCCACACGATAAGGTTGCTGAAGTAATTGGTGTATAGAATTAAAGACACGTGTTGAACTTGAACTAAGAGCCAAAAACAAAGGTCATAATCGCTACCTCGACTATTGGGAAACGCCTATCAAACCCAACTGGCCTTGGCACCGATATGGCCACAACTAGACGATTACTCCTCGACCTTATGGGCCATTACTCGCCCTTGTTGTTATCAGTGATTATTCAATAGAAAACATTTACACCCTACTTTCATTAGGAAGAAAACTCGCTCCGTAAGTCTGTCTCCTATTTTCATTTCAGCAAATAACTTAGACATAAAGTTGATGAAGGATAAATTAATGGAGAAGAAAAGATAAAAGATGAAGAATAAATTAATTATGATACAAGATATTTAAATAATCATCAACAGATGTCCGTCTATGGTGTGGTGGTTAAACCTTATTACGTTTTACTTCATGCTGAAAATAAAACAGTAATGATTTGTCAACTGTCGTTCAACAACCGTCATATATCAAAATGACGGTTGTTGAACACTTTTTATCTTATTTACAAATGACCAAAACATAATGTGTAGAGCACTGTTCATGATAAATTTTCTCGTTTATGCAGGACTATATAAAAAACACACCGTGTATTGGAAATTCTATCTAGCGTTCATTGCTATGAATTTGGACTGGAAAGACAATATAGTAAATCACTTCAAGGATGCGACGGTAATTGAAGCTATTAAAATCGTTATTTCATTCATTTTGGCATGATTTTGGCTGTGAAGTTACTTATTACGGAGCCTCCAAATAATGAGGTACCAGAATCATTTGGCAATTCAAGCTCAATATTAAAACAATTTGGTTTCTTTAGTTTTTACCAAGACTGTAGTCTAGGTTTATAGAGGTTAAAACTTATGTTTCGCAGGCTGATCCGTTTACGTATAAAACTAAGATTTGGACATCGAAAATCAGTAAGAAGAAAAGTAAACCCACTGGGGGTCATGAAGATGATGACCTTTGCGGGACAGTGTAATACCGTGGCTATCGTTTATTAGACTTTTTTTAAACTAGATTATCATAATCATGCAAGTATCTAAAAATCCTATCCATCTACTCGTTCGTTCAGTTAACGTATAGCTTTGCTCACTTTGGATTTCATGTACGTTTTTCATCGCGCGTATCTTTCACCCCGTAATCATGCCTTCATAAGTGTACTTATGATTAAAGTAGATTTGTATTGTAATATTTCATATCAGCTGTCTGAAACATCTGTCTACTTTTTAATGGCTTAACAACATTATTGTTCATATTCTGTTAGGTAAGAACAATAAAGTTTTAGTATCTACGCACCTTAGTATGCTGATGGAGGCACTGGAGTAAGATAATTTTTGTCTATACAATTTATCAAGAAGTCGACGCGACTACGTTTGCATATGTCGTGTTTTCTTACAGCATCTCTCTCGGGCCAGTGATCTCGAAGCTAGTAAAAGTGACGGACGCTAAATTACAGACTACTAAACTGAGTTTACTATTAACAAAGATCAAAACTCGGTCTTGCAAAGATAAGATAGTAATCCATAAAATAAAAAGAACAGAACTTTTGTCACATTTAATTAATTGTATTTCTCTTTTGTTTCACAGTACCTGGACATCGGCGAGGACATGAACGTCCCAGATGACTTCACCCAGAGCGAGTTGCAGACTGGGAAGTGGTGGCGTCATCTCCTCGCCGGAGGAATCGCGGGCGCGGTCAGCCGGACCTGCACAGCGCCCTTGGATCGTCTTAAAGTGTTCCTACAGGTAATAACCTTAGGGTTCGTTTTTGGGAGAAAATAAAAGGCCTATAGGACTCCTCCGCCGTGATGCTCTATCAATACGCATCTCTGCGTTTATTCTCCCACGTTGCTTATGTTGGGACCTGAACATAGCTGCTGAACCAGCTTTTTGAAAAGTGGTCCAGCATTGTCAAAGACAAAACTGGACTAGTGTAATGAGGATGGTTGTGGTTTAACACAATAAGGTGATGCCTTGCGAATATTGGGCGTTTTAAAGAAGCTCAGAATTAGTTTTAATCGTACTTTTCTTATTACTTATGTTCTTATTTTGAAATATGTCATAGTTGACTAATAAATCTAGTATCTGGTCGAAGCCGAAACATGAATGGAAACAATTTTCTCGATAGAAAAAAAATCCAAAGATGACCCTTCTATTACTTGGTTTTTCGTTTTATAAGCAGATAGGTTAATATTTCAATACCAAATATTGTTAAGGTATACAGTATATTGGTAAGGTAATAACATATTCTAAGTACTGGTCGAGTTATTTTCTTTAAATAGTGTTTGGTTTTTCAATAAATACATGATTTCCGATTTTTGTCGCTTACGTTATTTTATTCCGCGCCGCGCGCGCTATTGCTGTCCCTTTCCTCGCACTGAGAAATCATATTCTATCCCTCTGTGTGCGAGGCATTCAGTCGGCCGAAAACTTTTACGAGGTAGCGCCTTAATGAAAAAGCTGGTGGAAGCGATGCTTGTTCTGGTAGAATGCTTTACGAGTACGAGACAGTTGAGGCGATTGACATTGCAAGTCTACCTTCAATCGAATGGTCAATGTTTTCAAGTCATGCTAGCATAACACCCCAATCTTTTCCTTACTCTGGACATAACTAAAGTAACGATTGCACCACTTTTCTTATAAATTATCACTCGAACGCTTACATGCAAGCCTTGGTGTGATAACTTTGAGACAACTGCCCATTAAGTTGTCTTCAACTTTCTTATCGAAAAATCTGGTTGATTTCCTGTTATGATGTTAAATACTACAAGTGTATAATAATCATTTTTTTACTTTTTCAGGTGAATCCAACCAGAGAGAACATGAGTAAATGCTTAGCAAAAATGATTAGTGAAGGTGGTATAGGCGGCATGTGGCGCGGTAACGGAATAAATGTGATCAAAATCGCCCCCGAATCCGCTTTAAAGTTCGCGGCGTACGAGCAAGTGAAACGGTTGATAAAAGGAGAGAGAAAGAATCAACCGCTCGAGATCCACGAGCGGTTTTTGGCGGGCGCAACCGCAGGAGCGATCAGCCAGACTGTGATCTACCCACTAGAGGTGCTAAAGACAAGATTAGCTTTAAGAAAAACTGGCCAGTACAGCGGTATAATGGATGCGGCGCGGAAGATTTACGCGCGCGAGGGTCTGAAGTGTTTCTACAAAGGTTACATTCCAAACATACTGGGGATCGTACCGTATGCGGGGATAGACTTGGCAGTTTACGAGACGCTGAAAAAGAAGTATATTAGTAAATATCAGGCTAACAACGAACAGCCGGGAATTCTGTTGCTGCTTGCGTGCGGTAGCGCGTCGTGCACGCTCGGACAAGTGTGCTCTTATCCTTTGGCTTTGGTGCGGACGAGGCTGCAAGCGCAAGGTAATTATCTATTCACTAATTTCGTCTTGTGTTCGTTCGAAAGGTTGCGTTTCTCATTTGTTTACTTTATTGAAATGAAATTAACTTGTTTATTACGGGTTGTAAGATGTTTGTCCTGAAAAATTATCTTAATTCATCACTTCTTTGAAGTGTAGTTAAATTAAAATTAATGTACACAGCTACATAAATAGATAACGATTTCCAGCAATTTATGTATTGCGTTACAGTATTATTTTACAAATTGTATTGCAGTCATTACTAACGATTATTGCGTCATTCATGATGATGACAGCACAGTATGTCAATTACTCATGTTACAAACATTATTCACTGTTGCATAATTTTTTTAAAACATATTAATTTCATCGATATAATCAATAAATTGTTGCATGTATTTTTACATTCTACGTTAATAAAGTTACGCATTAGCTGAGATTCCACCAGTTTGTATGCTCAATTGCAATAATTGTAGTGTGAAAAACTGACAAGAAACTCATAGTATTTCATTGTTTGTTACAGAAAAAGCGGCCAAGGTAGCTGAAGGTACGATGCGCGGTGTTTTCCGCGAGATCGTCCAGCGAGAGGGCTTCCGAGGCCTGTACCGCGGCATCACGCCCAACTTCATCAAGGTCATACCCGCAGTATCCATCTCCTACGTCGTCTACGAGTACGCCAGCCGCTCGCTCGGAGTCAACATGACGTGATCGACCCCCTAGCCAATAGCGCCCCGCGCCGAGAAAGAATCAAACATTGGCGTAACTAGAATTTAGATAATATCACCCAGAAACTTAATAAAAAAACAGTATTCAACCCTAAAAAATGTTATACTAACTACGAATCCGTTCGTAGTAAAGGCGTTTTGCTTGAAACCAACTGCGTCATTAACCATTCGTTAACGCCGCTAACATACTGCATGTATAATAAATAAATTTGGGTTTTTATAAAAATTCTGGGTGAAATGCTGCTTCGGAAACGTCCGATGGCACTAACTAGTTACGCCTATGCTCCCATCACATTCTATCTTAAGCATATTAGCAAATTTTGCATTTGATTGTACATAGCTCTCGTGTTAAGTCTTATTATTTATTCGTGAATTATTCCATTAATGTAACAATTTTATTGATCCTCGTTCGTTGTTATGTCCACAGTAACTTTTAAGCCCGAACCTGTGTTGGTTATTTTAATATTGCATTAAAAAATTTGACTATACTTGTGCTGATCTAGAGAATTTGCGGTGGTCATATGACAAGTCTGCTACGTGCAGGCATCATCTGTGATTAAAATAAATTGTGTAATTTTTTAGTTTTTTTCTTTTTATTTGCATTTCCTTGGTTTTTTGCTTTTTATTGCGGTTTCTTCTTTTCTATTGAAATCATAGGATTGTTCGAAGTCAGATAATGTTCTGTTTGTTTGAACTCAAGATAATGTCTTGAGTTTCAATACAAGACTCGAAACAGAATAATTTACAGAAATGATAGAGCACTGTATCCAAAACCTATATTAGTTTTATTTTTTGGAAATGAATGACGAACATTTCTTAAATATTAGGACATACGCTACCCATTGTCCTACTTTGTAGTCTTGACAAACCTCGTAGACAAGGTTAGAAGATCTATGAACCAACATCATAATCACTATTGTGATTTTTCGAAGCAGTAGGACACATACAGCTTTGCAAACTTGTTACAGTCACTTACGTTACAACGCATGGTTAACTGTTCCGTTATCAGAGTAGCGTATTATTAATTTATTTACTCCATTGTTATTGTTGCAGTTTTTAACAGTTTACATATTTTTTATACATAGTACCTAGTTTACTATAACAGTTATTCCGGTTTTACTAAACTTTTACAATTCATTGTTATTAGATATATTTCAATGGCAATAACAAACACGATTCTTATGATAATTAATACATTTGGTTCTCTAAAGTTTAGGTGTGTTACTTTCAACGTACGAGTATTACAATAAATACCTAGGTAGGCTTCAAATTTTATCTTGCCTTTGTCGATGTTCGTAGACCTAGATAGTTTTTGGAATTTCTCGTCTTGTTGATGTTTAGATAGATATTAGGTATCTTTGAATTCCCAAATAACATGATAATAGATTATTGGCTTATGAAAACGGAAACCTAACTAAATGTGCCTGAAAATACTGAAAGTACACCTAACGTACAATTAAATGGATAATATGTATTTTTATGGAATGGTTAATAATGGTACTGCAGGAGGAAATAAAAGACTGCCATACGATTGGTCAAGTGTCATGGTTTCGCTGCTTCCACACGACTCAACTATACCAACTGCATAGACCGACTGTCACCTGTCGTCGGCTATATTGGGCCGATTTTCGTGCAGTTGATCATGTACCCAAACACTTCCTTAACGAAAATAAAACTACCTAATACACAAATCGAATCTGCCCTGGCAAAAAATGATCGTATTGAAATCACATGAGAATCTCTTAAGCTTAGTACATTCAGGCCACAGTGAGACTGCACAGGATCATAAATACATGAATATCGACTCCGATTGGATTGGCAATGTTTCATAAGGCAACGAGGCTGTGATATGGAAGGAAATTAAAGTAGAAAATACGCCAGAATAATAGATGTCCGGTTACACATAATTATAATATTGCATGACTTATTGTTGTATCAAAGTTTTACATTAGGATAATCGCTTCATCATAAGCTGTTTGGTTTTCGTTTGGATGTGTAATTTTAATAGGTAGGTACCTACTTAAAATTTTTAGATAGTTAACAAATTTACGTGTTGTAATGTGCAGCTTTTCCATAGTTTTGCTAGACTTTCTATATTTTGAATAAAGTAATTATATTTAGCAAATAAGTAGTAAAGAAATTTAAATAATGAATCTCAAAAAAGGTAACTGGAAGCCTGTCCATCATTGAAAGACTCGGATGTACCTACTCAGGATAGAATGGACAGAGTGAATATGGCTCAATAGGGATGGTTGATTCCAAAAAGCTGGCAGAATTGCTACCCTAATGCCGTTTCTGTATTTTCTTATGTTCGTCCCTCTCACCCAAAGCGTCATGCTTACATTAATGATCAGAACAAATATCTCTGAAAAGACTGTAACGGCTTTAGGAAGAAGCGCCGCAAGCCGAAACCTTTGCAAAGCAACAGTGCTAACTTTTTTAAAATGAGGATCCCTTCAGGGAGGTGACATTAATTGTAGATTTTGTAAGCATCTAAGTAGGAAACCAGTGAGGTAACTGAACATGTTCATTAGCACAAATCATAATTCCGTCATATACCTAATCTTAATTAAGAGTTTTGGTTGGAGCAAGTACACGCGTTCAATATTGCTAAATTATTATTTACTACGGCACACTTTACTTGCCCAGATGATGTGCTTGCCCAACCTAAACCATACTTATTTATCATCATGTTGAATGTATACCTTAGTCCAGTCAATGAATGCCTTAACGACGGTGTAGAGAGAAATCCGTGGAACACAATTTCTGACCTCGGGACTTTATTTAGCCTAGTTAGGTGGTGAACATAGCAAAAGTCCCCGCCCTTAGCCCTTGAGCCGGCGGGGAGAGGGGGGTTTAAAGGTACCACTTTTCGGTTTTTCGCTTAATCCTCGGAAACTATGCGTCCTAGTGACATGACTACTATGAACCAAAAAAAGCTTATTCAATTTGCTACAGGTGAGACCGTCAAGTTTTTCTATATATTGTATAGTTTTTGCGGCATCTGCTCTAGAAGGTCTGTAAAATTGGAAATTTTATTGTTGTCTTACATGTTCCTTTCAGGAGAAAATCGACTAAATCAACATTGAGCAAACACTATAGACATGTGGGAGCATGTTAAGCCTAGTTCCATGGAGGGGACTGCACCGTGGGTATATTTAGACGAACCAATTAGAGCCACTTTTGACTCCTCATCATTCAAAAACTACTGTGCATTAACACTTAGACGATATTTGTGTGAGTTATCAATGATGGACATATTGTAAATTGGGCAACCTCTCGTATAAGCTACTTTTTGACGACCAGCGGACCTATACATACAACTTTGTATTTAGTATTTCCCTTAATTTTTTTTTATTTTAGTAAAAGTTGATGCATACGAGCGCGCGCGAGTTCGAGTCGTTGTTATGTGTCATCAAAAGTGTCCCTTATACACCATATTGTAATTCTGGCAATTTTTCGTGGAAATATTTAATATAAAAAAATCGATTTTTCAACCCTCGATAACTCAAAAGTACGCAGAGATAAGTGACAAGTATCTTCGCATGAAATACTCAGAATCACTTGTTTTATAACATGTGTGATCGGCATCTTGACATCGTTAAAGAATTTCGAAAAATTGACAGAAACGTAATTTCTTCCATACAAAAAATATGTATATATTTTTTTTTACTACGAAATAGACGTCGTAGGATTGTAATATTTTTTTGCCTTATTAGTTATCATAGCAGTAACCATCAAAAAAAATTTCGTGCCTCTAGCATCAATGTCCATGTTTTATTAAATCGGGACCACTGTGCCGGCTCAAGGGCTAAGGGCGGGGACTTTTGCTATGTTCACCTTCTAACTAGTCTAAATAAAGTCCTGAAGTCAGAAATTGTGTTCTACAGTTTTCCATCTATAATGCTTTATTGACTGGACTACCTGTATTTATTTACATTCAAGTTTTCCGATATAGTCATAGTTTTAAATGTTTGTTAATCGCTAGTATGTACGGCTTCTTGGCCACAGTAAATGATTTATATATACATATAATAATCTAAATATTTTATTCGTATTATTTTCAGACGTTATTAGTGAGCAATAGCAAATTAATAAAATCAAAGTGTCTTTTAATAAATATTACAAGCAATAATATAGTTTTAACTCTTTACTGACCTCATACATAAAGAGTACTTAGTAGGCGATTTATTGAATAGAGGGAGATTATCTTCGTGTAGCACATAGGATACGACCTGCCTACAGAAAAAGAAAGATGATGATTTCAGCTATACTTAATTCTGCCCCTAATGTACGTCCTTTGTAAACCTGTGTTAGCTACACGAAAATACTACCTGATGCACCATCATTAAGCCATTGATAATGGTGTTTAATAAGCAATATCAATACTACAATAGATCAAAATATAACAAAATAGTTAATACCATTACCAACGAATAATAATAGAAGGTAACTAGTGAAAAATTATGCTGTGTATGTGTAAGGGGTTTTCGAAATCCCAATATTTATGATACCACGCTTTAACTCAATTATTGGTCGTGTTATATTTTTCATATGAGTATATTTTCGTGTTCAAATACTTAAACACAATTATTGCCATAATTTTAGATAACTATTTCATAATTGGCAAGAAGTTTGATCAATTCTATGTAATACAGAGTGAGCTATTTTACAGACGTATGAATATGTGCGTGATACGATTTTCGTTACTTGTATTTATACTTACTTAAAAAGGTCATATTTTATTTGTATGATAAATTGAATGTAATAAAAAGCTGCTGCCTATACTGTGGGTATGAAAATTTTCCCGGATACCTAACAAAACCTTAGTAGTTAGGTCCGGCTCCGCGCAGCAGCCGTGGGCGCACGCATGAACTAGCATAGTAGATATTCAAATATTTATTATCAACTAGCGGCCGCCCGCGACTTCTTACGCGTGGACCCCGTTTACTCGAAGGTAGAATTTTGCAAATCTCGCCGTAAAAACTTATAATCTCGTACCTATATATAGTAACGTATAGATTAAGTACACGTAACGAAAGTTAATATCACTATTTGACGAACATTGTCACCTTGCTTCCCTATTACCTGCAGTAAATTTAGAAATATGATGCCTTATAAATGTATCTATTATTTTAAATAACATACATATTATAATCTAAGCTTATGCAATTATTACAATGTAAAATGAGTTATATTCATATATTTGAATTATGTAATAGCAAATATTTGTCTGTTGATACTTAAATAAATACTTATTCCAATTAAATCGTTTCTTTTATTTATTTTATTTTATTCAGAAAACAAACAGCTTACAAATATATAAATTGCATAGATACAGTGTAGTTGGTCAAAGCCTATAGTTTTCACCTCTATATAACCAAGGGGTATAAAATTTAACAAATTTTAATTATACGTAGAAGCAAAGAGAAAAAAAAATGGATAGAAAGAAGTTCGAAGAAATTTGACTATATGTCAGGTCGACGAGTCTGACGCGTGAAATCACCTGCAATCAGTTTTCTTACAGCAGTAGGGTTGGTACAAAATAGGTCTACATGCGGGTGAGCGCTAACTATCTCATTGAACCTATTTGCCACCCTACAGAAGAACGAGTTCCGACGGTAGTTCGTGCGAGTCAACGGCAGGTGCAAGCAGGGGCGCTTTCGATTCTGTTTGTTGGGGACTCGTAGGCGGACATTACTTAAAAGTTGGGAATTATCAACACGGCCGTTACATATGTTCATTAAGTAAGTGATATCCGCAGCCGTCCTACGCAACTCAAGAGGAATAAAGTGGTGCCTCCTGCAGCGCACATAATAGTCTACATCGCGCTTCTTAGATTTGAACTGCAAGTATCTTAAAAACCTTCTTTGGATGGACTCAATTCGGTTACAGTATACTTTGTACTGGGGATTCCAGACCTGAGACGCATACTCGAGGATGCTACGAACGTAGGAACAGTATAAAATTTTTATAGGTTTTAGATTGGAAAAGCGTGCACATGATCTCATAATAAAACCAAGAGCCTTTGAGGCCTTCTTAACTATATAATCCACATGTCCATCGAACAGCAGTTTCGAGTCATGGATCACTCCCAGGTCCCTTATATGGTCGACATGAGCTAGACTATGGTTATTAAAAGTGTAATTAAATTTGGTTGGATTAGCTTTTCGAGTAAAAGTAATAGCTTGGCACTTGGATACATTCAGATCCAGCTTGTTATGAATGCAGTAGTTTTGAAAACGAACTAAATCATGTTGTAGTAACAACGAATAATTTAAATTGTCAATTTTTTTTAAGTATTTTCATGTCGTCCGCGAATAATAGAAATTCAGAGTTTTGGAAACACTTACCTATGTATATCGTTCACAAATATAATAAATAAGAGGGGGCCAAGAAGTGAACCCTGGGGCACACCGGATGGGACAGACATCCATTTAGATTTGTACCCGTTCAAAACAACTATCTGAGACCTTATAGAGATCTATATCCACTATGATTCCGATTGATCTGACTTCACTTAAACTCGTACAAATAAAGTTTTATAAAAAACAAAACTAATTATAACATTATTTTTTTATAAGTTCTGGTAAACTTGCGAACATATACTTATAACAGTGTTATTTTATGATATTGGTCATGTTACATTTTCTTATACTCTTATAAAGTATAACATTACCTTTACTTATTTAATTTGCCGTTATTTTAATTAATATCTTTTTTGCCACGTCTGATGTAAAAATATTTCAAAAAATGGCGGGCTTACTATTATTGTCTATGGACGTTAATAAATTTGAACATCACTGCCGATAGAGATAGATGGCGCTTAGGAATCGGAAAGGAAATATTACTGCACCTTAGTGAATATTTTTTTGTTTCTACAATAAACCCACCTGTATTTGGGTTGCAAATAAATTAAAATAACGTGGAGAACATCCATATCTGTGGTGGAGAAGCATCACCTTACCTGTTTTATAATTTTTTTAGATATTCGATTGTGGTTGTCACTGCCATAATCATTCGTTGTCTATGGGTATTTTCTATCTCTCTCACTCAATTGTCTTTCTTTTCAAAAGCAGCACGTGTAGACGCGGACGACTTGTGAACATCGATTTTAATTATTTAGGTAAAACCATTTATTTGAACCTAATTCGAATCTCAAGAGAAAGCTGCTACACGAATTTATCATCCCACAAAGTAAATCATTCAGATTCGTAACATATTCAGTGCTTCGAATAGAAATGCACTGCAGTGCAATGAACAATTTGTGCATAGATTTGGATTTTGCATAGCAACTCGCGAGAATAAATTCCGTGGTATTATTTGTTCCAGTTTAAATAAGCCAAATATGCCGTCGGACGCGAAGAAGAGGGCTCAACAGAAGAAAAAAGAGCAGGCCAGTAATAGGAACAAAAAACCCGTTGCAAGAGTGACTAATTCGGAAGAAAATGGATCGGCTACTAACGGCACCGAAAAGGAGGAAAGAGAGCTGACCGCTGAAGGTATGTAGTATGTACCCGGTAGTGGTAATCGTGCGGACCTCGAATCTCACGAGATATAACCTCCAACTCATTTTCCTTTGTTGCTCACATTTTTGTGTACCTACATACATTAAACTTATCATGATCGAAAATTACGTGGCTGTAATTTCTATGACGAGGCTGTGGATTTGTTTCACACATGCAATTTTTAATAATTTTCCTTTAATTTTATTTACATAGAGCCATTTAAAGCTAGACCCTCAGCTCATCAGCATTGACTTGTATTTTTAATAAACACATGTCCAAAAGCATGGCAAGGCAGTTTTGTAAATAATACCATGCGGATATTATATTATGGTATTTTTAGCAAACTAAAATATTATGTTGAGGTACTTTAGTTGCTCTCATCTACAGAATTTATAAAATTTAAATCTTACAAAATTTTAATATTATGTACCTACCTATTTAATAAAAGTAGTTAGTCTATGAAACAAAAAAATAAACTATATTTTACGAACTAATAACATAAAAAATATTAGTTTGTTATTAGAGTTAATTGTGCAGCTTTTTCTATCTTTTTCTTAAATCTAATGTTATTGTAACTGTGGTACACACATAATAGACAGTATGTGTGTGTAGTAGTCACTATTTTAATTAAGTCAATCTAGTAAATAATTAATCTCAAAAACATTCTAATTTCTTGACAACCCAATACATCCAATATTGGTTGCGATTCTGATAGAACTTGCATTCTGATAGAATCTGATAGAAATTTTTTGTATTTGTTATGCAATGTAAAGAGAAAGGTCATTATTAGTTTGTAGTTCTTGTCATTAGTAGTTGTATTTATTTATCTCCTTAGGGGTGGAGTAAAATCCGTTCTCAGTGAGCACCTACGTTTTTAAAGGAACCCCCATGCAAAAATTGAGACTCCTAGCACTTGTAGTTTCTGAGATTTTGTGATGAGTGAGTGAGTCAGTCAGTCAGTCAATAAGTGACCTTTCGCTTTTATAAATATAGATTTGTTTGATGGCTTGAGATCAACTGAATTGCTGTCAACATTTGAACATTACCATTCTAGAGGCCCTCTGTATGAAACTGGAGGCAGAGGCGAAGATGAACTCGGAGGCGAGGTCCTGCACCGGATCCCTGGCGGTGCATCCTCGCTCCCGTGACATTAAGATCGCCAACTTCTCCATTACGTTCTACGGAAGCGAACTACTGCAAGACACGCTGCTTGAGCTTAACTGTGGCCGACGATATGGCCTGGTTGGACTCAATGGATGTGGTACGTATTACTTCTTTTTATCCTTTTTTTTTTGTAGTTACATTATTAACAATAGCTAATGATAAGCTCTGATTTGTTCTGAGTCACGTCGTTCGTCAACAAAAGGAATGAACTTGCTGGAAAATTTGTATGATTTCATATTCATTTATTAGCAACATGTTGATTCAATTTAATTTTCAAACAGTATTTTATTTTAAATCTTAAAGACTGGTTTTAGGCCTTAGATTAATAAAACCTAGATAGATAGTCAGTGCACGAAAGGTGAGGCAGATTTTAGTGAGCCAGAATGGCTTACTCGTAAACGTCACATGAACTGTCAAAGTGAAAAATTGGTAAACACGTCCGACGACTTTTAATTAATTAAGATGGTTTGTGCTGTGAAAGGGTGTCTAAATACATCAGAAAAACTAAAGAAAGTGACCAGTGTTACATTTCATAAGAAAGTACTACGATTCGACGCGTATTTTGCTTGAATTTGGCTTTCATAAATTGAATCCCGGAATGATACCAGTAACAAGAAAATTTATTTCCCAATTGTTCGCCGTACAAATACACTTCCTTTTTTATGAAATCGAGACTTTTAAGTCGATTTCATCAACAGCCCTTTACAGTCCACTGCTGGACTATGAGCCTCCTCCACTATAGTAGAGGGTTTTGCCATAATCCCCACGCTTGGCAGGCGGGTTGGAGATCGCAGTTTAAAAGATTTATGTTTGTTAGAGAGCGCTGCTGCCCGTTCTCTATTTGATGTGTAGTCCCTAAGTCGCCTCTTACGACACCCGCGGGAAGAGTAGGGGTTGGTGACAAATGTATTCTACTCTGCTGTCACCACACGGCCAAAGTCCATTTATCTTATTGCAATTAGGTAGGTACTTTAAATTCAATAAATAAGTAAGTACGTGGTGCGTTTTGTTTTTGTTAGTTATAAAATAATTAAAAACGTATTAAAAATTTCCCTACTTTCGGGAAAATCGCCTTCACTGTCTACACTCCCCAACAAAATTGACACGAATGACATAAGCTTTTTGCCTCACTCTTGACGAAGCGTTTGTATGAAGACTATCCATCTAGGTTTTATTAATCTAAGTTTTAGGCCGAAAACTGCGTATTGCTGATGCTGAGTTTATCTACGTGCGTGACATATCTGCATATTTGAGTTCCTACATCTATTAATTAAACCCCAATTTTCCACACGTCCGCAAGTTCGTGACGTGAACAATCAGTCGCCGGTATCAATTTCTACCGTTCTACTCTAGATCTCTCTGATGGAATAGTTTTTGTTATATACTTTTTTCATTGCATTACGAATTGGTTACGGCGCTGCGCGACTAAAGTGTGCCGGGTTTAAAATATTTCTAAACAATTGTCTTGCTTTTATTTATTGTGTTTGCTTAAAGTAGGACAGTTTTTCAATCAACTTATGATTGCATTAGAGGTAGTTTGATTTGAGTCACATCATTTCTCTTAACAACTATTTTATGTCTAAGATAAATAAATAGTATGTTGTGTCGGATACATTTTCGTTAGAACCATTATTACGTGTAAAGCTTTAGTGCCGCGTTCTTTCTCTCTTAACTTCAATAAATATTGAAAATTATAAATATGTTTAGTATACATACTTCATTATTCTATCTAATACTGATAATTAAAGGCCTTTTATAACTTTTAGATGACAGAATTTAATTGATAAATGAAAAAATAAACGAACTACAATCTCAAGCAATATTTTTTTTATTTTAGACAACTGACAGACTAATTCAAACTATTTATTTTTTACCTAACAGGGATGATTCCATTTTTTGGATGATTCATTGTCGGTAATAATTGATACATTGATACTGGTTCACTTCTAGCTAAGCTGTAAAATGAAAAATTGCAATATTCCAGCCATCAGATACCTTACTCATAGCATTTTATTAATATCAAAGCAAGGTCTATCGACCGTATAATTTTCTGAAACTGTTCCCTTTACATTAAAGATTCAGTGTACAGTTTCTTTGTGCCACCCAGCCTTGGACAATCAAGTCACGATCCAACTACCTATAGGCTATAATGATAGTCAAAGTCAATCATAGCTCCCGTAATACAAGTCGATCATTTATCAGTAGGCCTTCTTCCCACGGTTGCAGTTTGCAAAGCATGCACGGCGACATCGCACAATCGGTCTGGTGCATAACCCTACTGTAATTCTAGCCATTATTCTGTTAAACGATAAAAAGGAAGTTTCAATCTAGAATGAGGATCATTTCGATTTTTAGCTGTGAATGCAGATTTATAGGGCTAAGAAAGAAATCCATAATACACAGTCCAAAATTTTTTATTCTACGACAAAAATTGACGAAGTTATGGCCAAATTACTAAAAAAGTTCACTGACCGCCCGGCGCGGGGACGATGACGTCACTATATCCGATCCGAACGCTGCCGGCGTACTGCGTGGATAGAAAATATTTTTTTCTAGACAAACTATCAGTTTTAGAGAAAAACTTGTAATGACATTTATTCATCAGAATAAAGTAGGCTATCGATAGGTAATTTTTAAAAATAGAAATTGTGAAAAATAACGCAAAAAATCCATACGCTCATACAATTCAATGGAAAGCAGAGACGCGATTGGGGTCTCCGCGGTGGTATATTTGGCGATTTATTCAAATAAAGTGTTCATAAGTGTTGTCTTCTTCCAAGTAAAATATAAAAATGTATAAGTATTAATTTATTTACTTCTAACAATAAGGTATAGCTGAGGCAGATACACTCTGCCTAGGCTACAAGACATTGTTATGAAGATCATTTCGATGTACACGCAATACCTACCTAGTTATTTAGTTTTTCTGAGTTAAACCTACGTACCTACCTATCTATTCGCCGTTCCCATGGGCGGGCCAGCTGCTGCAGGAAAGGACAGCTGCTCCCTCGTGGAAATCTATTTAATCTTAGCCTAGAAGCTGGGTATGACTCCCCCGCCCCCCTCCTCTCCCCAGGTCATAAGCTGGGCATGACTTCCCCCTCGGCCAGAAGTTGGGTATGATTTACCCAGGCTATAAGCTGGGTATGACTTATCCCCTTCCCCCCAGGCCAGAAACTAGGTATTATTAGCATCATATTATGTATTATTATGTTCAATACAAACAATCATTAAGTTACACTCACCCCAACTGCGTCTCCGCATTGCATCGAATCCTATGAAAATGTGGTATTTGGACATAGCGATACTTATTTTTCACAATTTTTATTTTTAAAAATTACTGGTCGATAGGTTACTTTATTTTGATGAATAAATGTTATTAAAAGTTTTTTTTCAAAACTGATAGTTTACCTGGAAAAAAAAAATTTCCATCCCAATAGTACGCCGGCTGCGCTCGATTCGGATATAATGACGTCACGCGGCCCTGCGTACGTTGACTTTTAGCGGCAAAAACGGTCTATGTTTATTACTTAATATCTTCGTAAGTAATGGTCCGATTTGGATAATTCAAAAAGATATATCTTTCTTATGTCTTAAACATTAACGTAGATGCTAGTTTTATTGAATTTTCTACAACAGTACTGATCCTCATTACAGACGCGAGAACTTCTGCAGTTTATTCAGGCTATGTAGGTTCCGATATCGACTAGAGATGGATCGATCACTTTTATTGTATACGTGAGAAATAATAATAAAATAGCTGCTTTATCTGGCAGTAGCAATTGTAAAGTTGACCATGAGCACTTTTTTAAACAGTTACAAAAACATGAAGGATAGTCCAGTCACACTTACTTTCAGCTTATGTACAGCCCTTAAATGCCTTTGTTTGACGTATAGTCTTACTTGCAATTTATATTTTAAAAAATCACACCCTTTTTCATATGATGTTTGCTGTTCTCTAGATCCTCCATTTTAGAGAGGCTTATGCTCCAGCAATGGATACTGAAAGCAGGTGATCTGATGATGATGATTATGCAGATTTACTATTGTCAAGGCAAGATTTTATTCAAAGACGATTCTCGTTAGGGCTTCTATTTGTGGAATAGAAAATACGCGCACAATTCCCTATTTTATAAAAGGTCAAATCTTATTGACACAAACACGTGACATTATTAACTCCCACTCACCTCCTGTCACCTCTCTCCCGGTATTGTAAGAAAGGTATATCTCAGATGTAAACGTATTATTTCTAATCATAGTACGCGTGGGAGCCATCTATCCTTCATAATTCTATGAACTACAACTATTTACATCCTCCATCCATCCATCGTTTGTTCGTTCGTTTCAGCCGAAAGACGTCCACTGCTGGACAAAGGCCTCCCCCAAGGATTTCCACAAAGCGTCCTGCGACCTTCACCAGATCGTCGGTCCACCTAATGGGAGGCCTGCCCACGCTACGTTTTCCAGCTCGTGGTCGCCACTCAAGAACTTTCCTGCCCCAGCGACCGTCAGCTCTACGAGCTATGTGCCCCGCCCACTGCCACTTGATTTTAGCGATTCTGCGGGCTGTCAGTCACTCTGGTTCTCCTCCTCCATCCATACTTCCTCGAAATAAAACTGCTATAAATATGCTTTGAACTGGAAATAAAGAATGTTCTAGGTTCGAATCCTAGGTTGATTTCAGTAAAAAGTTTATCCTTCGTAATTCTATGAACTACAACTATTTACAGCGTAAGTATCCTCCATACTTCCACGAATTATAACTGCTATAAATACCTATGTTTTGAACTGGAAATATAGAATGTTCTAGGTTCGTATCCTAGTCGATTTCAGTAAAAAGTTCCATACATTTGTATATTTTTGTATGCTACTTGCGAAATGCCATTACGCATCTGATTTGCAGATTGAGTACCAAAGCTGAGCTTGTTTATGCAAACCGAAGTGTAACTGCCATTGAATTGTGTAATGTTATGCTGTGCAATATAAACTTAGGTTGCAATGATACCGCCTTGCGATTTGATGTTGTATTTGCTAAAGTACCATTTCGAATGAACATAAAAAGAAAATTTAATTTTGCCACTTGGGTGGATTCGACATTTTGACATTTCCCATACTGAAACTGTCAATTTGCCAGTTGTACCAGGAGTTATTCTCGAATAAAAGTTTGGTGGAATCGGGCCCTAGCGCTCGAATTTTATTTTCCGGTCAACGATCGGAGGAAAACCGTCGGAAACAATTGATTTTCCAGTGGATCTATTTACAAGCGTACACTTGCATTAGCGATAAGTTCTTTAAATCAGGCAATAAATTGTTTTACATGGGGTAGTCTTGTCTTAATTCTCACTGCAGATTAGCTGGTATTAGACGTTGCTGATGTAGTACAGATCTAGGTTCGATTCCTGGTCGGAAATTTCATGTTTCAAAGTATTAGGAGGCGTGTCTAATAGGATTTTCGCTAACTAGAGCCAAACGAAACTATTGTTTTGATACACCTCTAAACTGTTAACCCTTAATTTGGCAGACTCATTATTTATCTAAAAATAAAAACACATCGTAGGATTTATGCTCTTAGGGTTATTTATAGGTCAGAAAAAAATATATAAAAAATCGGAACTTCACCAAATAGAAAAAAAACAATGTTCATCCCAATGAACACTGCCAAATATATAGAGAATTTTAACTGTTCATTGGGGTGAACATTGCCAATTTAGGGTAGCGGCATTAAATTAAAACAATTATTCATATAAAAAGTAAAATTTATATTATTAAATGCTTTTTGCTGCACAAATTAGTAAAAAATTAACTATTACCATAGAATTTTGTGTGATCGTTGAGGTAAAACAATGTTTAATGTTTTTAAACAAAAAAATCATAATTTTTGGTTCATGGAACTTAAAAGTGGACAAGTCGCACTAAATAATAAAAAAACAGCTTCCACATTTATAAAATATATTCTTCAGGGTTTAAATAAAAAAGTAAAAATGATTTTAATCAAAAATATTCTTTGGAACTACAATCTTTGAATCTACAAACAACCGCAAAATAAAATATGTAATTATTGTGCATGAAAATTTAGAAAACAATTATGTCCACTTTTACCAGTAACAAAACATTATTCTGATATTACATTTCATGCAATATACAGTATCAAGCTGCCAACAACTCAAACAAAATAAAAAAAATACTCTAAATAAAGAAATTAGTCCACTGAAATAAAATTAAGCAAAAATAAACGTTTCATAGCCTATTTGACAATGTTCACTGGGATGAACAATCAAAGATTATTAGTAATTTGGCAATGTTCACTGGGATGAACACTCGACTTTGACCTGGTATAACATGGCTTATTTATTAAATGAGCATTGTAAATCAATCAAGTTATTAAGCATGGTCACTATGCAATACGTTAAAACCACTGTCATTACTCAATTATAATAAAAAACATGTAAAGCTTGAATAAACACTTTGACACTAAAGCCTAGTCTTCGTTATGCCGGCATTTTAGCTAAAATTTAACTTTCAGACTGTGGCTAGCACATAAAAATATTTTTCTACCAAAACTTAAGTATATTTTCTAGTGAAAAAAAAACTTACCAGAAATTAAGACGTATGCACTCGGCATATTATTTTTTTCAATTTAATGTTCATCCCAGTGAACAAAATCAAATTAAGGGTTAAAGTTACTGCAAGTTTGTTGCCTGGCGAATATTCCTATGTATAAACTGTCCCCAAACTCAGTTATTCTCTTCATTTTTTAAACAAAAGACCTAATACAATATCATCTACCCACACAGGCAAGTCGTCTCTACTCGCAGCGTTGGGTCGTCGTGAGGTGCCAATACCGGAGCACATCGACATATTCCACCTGACGCGCGAGATGCCTGCCTCGGATAAGACCGCGCTGCAATGCGTGATGGAAGTCGACGAGGAAAGGGTTAAGCTGGAGAGGCTCGCCGAGACCTTGGCGCAGTGCGATGATGACGGTAAGTTGTTGTTCGGGTATTGGAAGGGTTAACATACACCGGAGCACATAAAATATACCACATGACCCGCGAGGAGCCTGCCTCGGATGGATGGTACGCGTTGAGCCCGATTTACCCCCTTAGGAGTGGAGTTTCGTAAAATCCGTTCTTGGTGAGCACTTACGTTCTAAAAGGAACTCCCATGCAGAATTTGAGACTCCTAGCACTTGTAGTTTCTGAGAGTTCGTGATGAGTGAGTCAGTGACATTTGCAGACAGTGGTGACTGAGTTTGTTGCGGCGCTTCTTCTCAGCACTTGCTAAATGTTGGTCTCGAAGCGCTGGGAGGGCAAAAATATTATGAGACGAGGCTCCTTAAGAGCAAAATATTTGACGATTTGTAAGTATTATTTAAATAGTTAATCTATACAAAACAAATAAAGAAATCGTGACTTTGACTTTCGCTTTTATTATAAGTACTAGCGGCTGCCCGCGACTTCGTACGCGTGGATCCCGTTTTACCCCTTTAGGGGTGGAGTTTCGTAAAATCCTTTCTTAGCGGATGCCTACGTCATAACATCTACCTGCATGCCAAATTTCAGCCCGATCCGTCCAGTGGTTTGGGCTGTGCGTTGATAGATCACTATGTCAGTCAGTCACCTTTGAGTTATTTAGATTTAGACAGATAATAATGCCATGTTTATGTACTTGGTCTCCAGATGCGCAGGAGCAGCTGATGGACGTGTACGACCGCCTGGACGACCTCAGCGCCGACACGGCGGAGGCGCGCGCCGCGCACATCCTCCACGGTCTCGGCTTCTCCAAGGCCATGCAGCAGAAGGCCACCAAGGACTTCTCTGGAGGTACGAGACACACGCTTTTATTTCACCCTAGTTAGTTATGGCAGGCCTGTTCATCTCCGCGAGTTTACATCGAAAACAAAACACGCGCGACTACACCTCCTGAGATATCTAATCGACTGGGACAATCACTAGCGAGCATTGACGGACGCACATGTATTCTTCACCCATTTGCATTGTAAAAACAATAAACTATGTATGTAAAAACGATAGTGTAATTAATACTGTGCAGTATTTTAACTGCCTGAATAATAATAGAAACACAAAATATAATTCATGCTTATTCATTAGGGTGGTCCTTATTTTTCGACTTTTGAATTATCCCCGGGGCACTTTTTCATTCGATTATATACCTCTAAATATGAAATTAGCTTTTTTGTTTTTTTTTTTTGGTTAAGATTTAGAGGTCGCTACCAGCTGTCAAAATATTTACAAAAAGCTTTGAAGATCAAAAATCATGGTTTCATAAATGTTTTATTTAAGTGTTTATATCACATTTTACGTGCAAATGAACATCGCATAGATAGAATAGACAATCGCTTCTTGTCCCCTTCTCCCCTCAACCCCTCTTCTGTACCGACCATGGTACCGACGCGTCGAGATACTAACAAGTCAACTCTTATATCTTAAAAATAATTGATTCAAATATGTACATTGTACATAATATCTTAGTTCATAGCAACAACAATAATTTTGTAATATATTTATTTGGCTTTGGCTAAAAATAAATGAATCTAACAAATACAGATTTTGTGTTTTTACTTAAAATTCAAACCTTGGTAGCGACCCCTAAATGTCTTTTAAAAATTAAAAAAAAAATAACGAAAGACTTTCATATGGTATATATTCAAATTACGTGGTGCCCCGCAAAATATAAGAAAAATTTTTTTTTTCGTAGGAATAAGGACCACCCTATTATTCATGTATTTCCTCCGCCATTTTCCGCAGCTTGGCACCTCACGTCACACATCATTTTACCGAAGTCAGCCCTTTGGCTTCGGCGCAGTACCGATCACTGACGTTTGTCAACAAAATGGTGCTCGACTCTTGAGACAAGCTAAATTACACAATATTGTTTACGACATTGAGCATACATTTTTTTAAATATCTTCGCGAAGAAAACTGTTATGGTGACACCATATGTGGCCTCCTTAAATCGTAATTAATATTATTTTGATATCAGGTTAACCTTCAAATATTGTGATACGTTGTTTCGTTCGCAAAAGCCTACCCCGCCTTTTCGATAACCGAACGATCGGACTCGACTAGTTATTTAGGTAAAAAGTGCTTTTGTTTTTTCCTATTTTTGAACACAGGCTGATGCCTAGCTGTAGTTCCCATTAGGGGGGATGGTTCTGGAGTGAAGACCACGTACCGGCAACCGCAGTGTGGGACATCCACTAGCAAGGTGTCCACTAGCAACCTTTAAAAGTAGCAGGAGGGCTCTGGATGCAAGCCACGACCATCTAGTCAACCTGGAAATTATTAGGGGAGCCCTATGCTTAGCAGTGGATGTCCTGACTGAAATGATGATAATAATTAGACGCCTGGCTAGTGGTTCGCATAATATGGACTACTAATCGGAAAGATGCGCCTCGTTGCGTCATACATCGGTGTAATACATTCATACGTCATATATTTTTATTACCCAATCTCATCAATAACAACTGCATCAAATGCCAGTGTTAACTTGTACTTTTGAGTCATAAATTCGTATTTGTAAACATGGCACTCATCAATAAAAGTGTTGTCCAATTCCTAAACATCTGTACAAACATATAATACACAAATCAACATATAATACGAGGGGCGGCTGAAAAGTTTTGAGCCTAAGGTATTAAAAATACCGATAGAAAAGTATAAAAAATATATTTTTCTACTTAATCTCCCTCTACTACAACGCACTTCTTACATTTGTGTAAAAGAGCTTTTAACCCACTGAAAAAAAATTCGCAATCTTTGCCCTCGAAATGAGCCTTTAGCGCCGCCTTCATTTCTTTGTCACTCAAAAATCTTCGTTCCTGGAGGTTATTTTTCCAATTTGAGAATTAAAAAAAAAAGCTAAGGATCCGGACTAAACTGTGTGGTATTCGATTAATTTCTTGAAATCCAGTTTTACCCGGGGCAAGCCTTGCAACATGCGCGGTGTTCACGGGCAAATTGTCTGGCAATAACAGATTTCCTTTCGCCAGTTTGCCTCTTATTATTTCGACAACCACTTGACGCACTCTTATCAACAGTACAGCAAAATAATCCCCGTTTATTGTAGTTTTTTTAAGTAGGTAATCAATGAATAAAATTCCTCCACAATCCCAAAAATAGTGGCTATGAGCTTCGGTGTCGATCGCTCCGCTTTGAATTTCCGCGGCGGCGTTTTGCCTTTTCAATCCATTGCATTGACTCTTGTTTTGACTCTGAATCGTACTGCCGGATCTATTATTTATCAATAGTGATAATGTGAGAAAAACATTTGCTAGGATTATGGCAAAAGATGTCCTAAAACTCCTGCAAAGTTGTGACTCGATGCTGTTTGTCGAGTGGCGTGAGCATTTGTGACACCCATCGCGCACACCCCTTTTTCATGTGCAAATGAGTATGAAAAATATCGCCAATACGTTCCTTGCTAATGCCTATGGCTTCAGCTATCTGTCACAGCTTAATTCGCGGATCTTTAGAGCAAGATTCTTTAACTTTTCATTATTTTATTCGTTAACCCATTAACGCCCGCCGTACAATAAATAGTACACAACTTTAAGTTACGATAAATCTGATTTAGTGGGTATTTTTACTCTGGAAATAATTCCAATCAGTAAACAAAGGTCTATGCATTATATCCTGAGATGAAACAGACCATAATTATACGATCTTAAGGGGGTATTTTGCGATTTCGTTTCAGTGATTTTTTCGTATCCTCTAGTGGGTACTTGATAATTTTTTATGCAAGGTTTAAGTTACACAAAATACCAAATATGTTGTTTGTGTATTAGCTAACAACATATTCTAATAAAAAATACCTAAAAAAGTTCATTTTATAGATTTTTTTTCATGCTATAACTCCCAAAGTGATGCTGTACTAAGTTTAGTACAATGGGCGCTTGACATGTTACGTAAAATAGTACAATAACGGCATTATTATTAGAGTTTTTACTTGTTTCTTCATAGTTTTTATATGTAATCATTGTTTTCTTTTTTCGATAACATGGCTCTTTATTTATGGGGTTACAGACAACAAAAAGAAACATATTGTTTTCCCAATTACGAGCTGTTTGTCGACCTAAAGAGACTTAGTTACATAGTTTTTGGAACCACACGTGAAAACAGAACCAAACGGTATCCTTTGATTACTTATAAAGATTTTCACAAAAAGCCTAGAGACAGATTCGACAAGGCAAAAATAATTTTATTAGTATTGATTGAAAGATAATAATGTGGGTACTATTGGAACAAATTTTGATGCTTTATAACCATTGGGAAAGGTCATTATATGGGGTCTCTTGAGAAAAAAAAGTTGAGTTAGGCACCACAGGGTGTCCAGCTCCAGTATAATAAGAAGATCAATGGGGTAGATCAGATGGCTAGTCTATAGAACTTTACCAAATTGAGATAAAAGGAAAAAAAGCGGTGGCCCTGACTTGCGGTCATCTTTTAGCGACTCCCTGCCATGCTTGAATTATCGGATCCAATCTTTCATGGTGGCAAATGAAGGCCCAGACTCCCCATAAACTGTCGACATCTCTCCAAATATTGCCGTCAGCGTTTTGTTCTTCTTTGTGAGGCATTTTATGACAACTGTGTACTTCAATTTCGTACATTGCGCGGATGACTGAGACATGATGATGTTTACGGATTAATTACTAAAAACTTGATGACGCTAATGAAATGAAATTTTGTACATATACTAAGGACGTTATTGGCAAATTAATTAAATTTAGTGCGAGTCAATAATAACACTTGAAGATACTTAGGCTCAAAACTTTTCAGCCGCCCCTCGTACGTGTTCGATATAATAAAAATCGAACAATCAACTTTCGAAAACAAGTAGGGAACCCAACACCAAATGTTTCTTGCAAAAGACCCGCATGAGCATCGCTCTGTCTTAACAAGTCTTTAGACTCCCGCATACTACAGTCGGCCGATATTTTGGTCGGCTTCCGATTTGTGTGAGGAATCAGCCGATACCAAATCGGTGTTATGTGCGCACTTTCATACTGATTAACAACCACGGCCGCGGCCGGCAAAAAGTTTAGTCTGCGAGTTGTCTAAAGGTGAATCCAGATTATGCCGTATCTTCTAAAAATGAGACAGTTTGGACGCACCCTTACAGTCGTCTGTTATTCTAGGTTGGCGCATGCGCATCGCCCTGGCGCGTGCGCTGTATGTCAAGCCGCACCTGCTGCTGCTCGACGAGCCTACCAACCACTTGGACTTGGATGCCTGCGTGTGGCTTGAAGAAGAGCTCAAACAGTAAGTTTTGCTTTTTAAAATGTCTTCTATTATTCTGGGAAAGTAAGGATGAAAGTACCCCCGCCAAGTGGAGCAAAACGGCATGTTCGTGCTATCCTTTTATCGAATCTATTCGGCCCATTTTAGACCCCCTATAACTTTATTGAGAAAAAATAACACGCAACAGCAAAGTGCCGGTTTTCATCTTCTATTATGCTATTTGTTTCAATTAAGATCCACATATGTCCATCTTCTAATTCCAAGGATGTAATTATTTTGCCGATTTTGCCATCACAGTGAAATCTTTTCTTTCTTTCTTTTTCATTTCAATTGTGTCCAATTTAATGGACCGCTATGATAGATGGCTTAATTAATTTGCATTCAACCGTCAACTTGCTGTCGAAAGCATTGAATCATGTTTCAATTGGGGCAATCAGTTTGATTCAAGTCTGCAATGTGGATAACCAAGTTGTACTCACAAATTATTTATACCCAGTCTGAAATCTGACTTAGTTTTTTTTAATTGAAAACCTTTGCAGCTTTGAGTTGGAGCAACTTAAACGGAATAGCAACAAATCGACTCAAAAGTATGGAATAAGGGATCCATTATTATTTTATTATAATATTACTCAGAACATGATAATATTTGTAACCGCGTGGATCCGACAGAGTATAATCCCCCTCTCCTCCCGTGAATGTTGTAAGAGACAAAGAAAAAATATGTGACCATCAGACCTTGCCAACCCTTCTAAAGTCAGGTCGCCGAGCACCACATACAATTTTGTCCAATGGCCCCAAGCTACCAATCCTTATCGCTCGCGCGTAATTATATTGCTCGGCGATTGGACTTTAGCTTAAGAGTGGAAGATGCCAAATCCTTTTAGAAAATTATCTTTCTGCAGTTTGCAGTGGAGACATAACGATGATGATGAATTCCTCTACATTAATTAATACTTGAACCTTTCCACAGCTACAAACGCATCCTCGTCCTGATATCGCACTCGCAAGACTTTCTGAACGGCGTGTGTACCAACATAGTGCACATGAGCAAACGCCGGCTGAAATACTTCACGGGAAATTACGAAGCCTTCGTGCGCACACGCATGGAGCTTCTTGAAAACCAGATGAAGCAGTACAACTGGGAGCAGGACCAAATCGCGCACATGAAGGTCAGTGAAGAGTTTGGAAATAGCGCTTTTATATCTGTCTGTAGTAAATAAATACAATACTGTAGTCCAAACATGTTGTCCCGTCCCTGGGTCCATAAATAAAAAATATGTAAACAAAATAACTTAATGAAGAATGTCACCAACTTTTGATTTTTAACCGACAGTAAAAATACATACTTTGAAATAATCTGTTACGTACTGCACGAATGGTTTCTGATATATTCACTGCTATGATGTTTGTATAAACAATAATATAGTTGCTCAATCTGTGCTGTTTTGCGCTCCCGGAGTCCAGACCCGTACTTTAGTTACAAAGGTTCAATCTTTAGTGGCACAGCAGAAGGGAATTTGGACACATTGAAGTGACCCAGTAACCTGGCCCTTAGTTAACGAAACAACCGTTCTGTTTACAAACTAAGTTTTAGATAAAGATCTTAGTGACGATAACGATAATATCGAAAATTTCCTTTTTCACCCGCAGAACTATATCGCGCGGTTCGGTCACGGCTCAGCTAAGCTCGCGAGGCAGGCTCAATCCAAGGAGAAGACATTGGCCAAGATGGTCGCCCAGGGGCTCACAGAGAAGGTGGTGGATGACAAGACACTGAACTTCTACTTCCCTTCGTGCGGGAAGGTGCCGCCGCCAGTTATCATGGTGCAGGTTAGTATATGAACTGCTGATTCGGACATTAGAATGGGGATGTTGCCTGGGTCAAAAAGCAAGAGTTTTAATTAGTCCGTCAGTTAACTTATCAAAAAATACTCTACACGTATTTTTCACTTTTTCAAACTAATGAAAATTTAAAGAGATAAAGCGCCCCAAAGTTCATAAGAAGAGGCCCGTGACGTCAACGCTTGCTTAAAAATGCCGCACGTTGTGACGTCGTGCGCAACTTCAACGCACCATAACTATGTAATTATTTGTTAAATTGACAAATAAAAATATATGTGTCCAATATTTTTTGATATTAAACATTACGGACTAAAAAAATTTTTTTAGGCAACTAGCCTATTCTATGCCACAAGGCCTTGGTACGATTCGCACATCGTTTATGTACGATATGCTGTACATATACCCCCTTTATTAATAAAAGTTACACCCTAGTTGAACTCTAATTTAAATTGTCATTTAGTTTGGAAATGTCCTTTTAATCCAGTGTTCGTCTCAGGTGTAACTTTTTATTAATAAAGGGGTTAGTGTATTAAAAAGTAAGTGTTGTCCATTGTCTGATTAGTTTGGAACTAGAGATGCGACAAAGTAACCAACAGTGGGGAAGCCGCAATTAATTATTATTGTGGCTTTTAAAAACTTTGTGTGTAACATCACATATGAAAATTACAATATGAACAATAAATTCAAGTCAATAACAATGTCTCAACTTACAAACTTATTGGTTCCTTTGTGTTTATTATAAATATAGTAAAAGTATTACAACAATGTATTATTTCTCCCGCAGAATGTATCGTTCCGGTATACAGATACAAGCCCGTGGATCTACAAAAATCTAGAGTTCGGTATTGACCTAGACACGCGGCTTGCGCTTGTGGGACCCAACGGGGCCGGCAAATCCACACTACTCAAACTACTGTACGGAGATGTGAGTATCTTATTAAATTAGAAGATTTCTATGTATAATGAGTATGTAATATGTATTTACCAAAAAAAAGTATTAAGTATGTTTATATCCGTTGTCTGGTACCCATACCCATAGTAACCTTTGCTTAGTTTGGGAATAGAGGCGGAATTTAAAATTAATGGTTGCCATGGTACACTAGGACGGAGGGATGCACACCCCTTATGTTTCATTAACGACGGTTTGTTGTAGATGTAACTATGGTTTAGAGCTGGCCGAAGAACAAATAACAATATTCATTTTTTATAGGAGCAACATTGATTAATATCACGTAATCTACAGGGTGTTAGGTAAATGGGTATATGAGCCGAGACTAGCCCATGTTAACATACTCATATAAATACTATAGTGGTGTCAGAAAGTGGATATCGTAATATTTAATAAAAAATATTTTCCCATACAAAACTAAATAAATTATTATTATTTTAATTTTTGGACAGCCCTACGATCGCCCAACTCCCTCCTAGGTCAAACGTGGTCAAACGGTATTTCATTCACAAATTTTGACGCGAGTCGGCGGCACTTTTATTATTACTTTTGAACCAATTCTTCACTTACCTCTTTTTATTGACTCTGCGAGCAATCCAAGGTATTCAGGGGGTAACACTTCACTCTAATTCACAAAACGAATCGCAACACATCTATCACATCCATCCACTCACTTATTCACCTTCCCACGCTTTCAAGTGGCCGGGTAGGTTCTTGTAGTGAAATCCTATTTTCAAGAACGGGATCTCCGGGTCTCCCTTCGGTGGTATGGTGGTGTCGATTCACCCACCCGCGAAAACATTAAGATACAAGGCATCGTGGAACGAAAGGTCTCCCGGACATAAATCGTTCATCACACTAAAGAAGACACAAACAAAGTCCTATTGCACCAACACCACTCAACACACATCACCATAACTTCACTGTATTACTTAGTTATTTGAATATCTAATTATCCAGAACGTCAACAACAAAACATCGCAACGAACGCAAATTATTTACTGAAAAAATAATGTAAACAAATAAACATGGCCGCATGGCGCGATGGCGCATGCGCGGTGCAACTAGTGCGGAGTCATTATTTTTTCCATAAAATCGGTAATCGATATTGATATTTCAAAAAATCGATTAAAATATCAAATTGTTTGAAAACCATCTGAGTAATCAATAGGAATGTCTTAAAATCAATTATCGATTAATTGATAGATCCTACCTACCTGAAATCGCTCATACTATCGATGGGTCTAAATTAGTTTAACGATACCATTGCATTGATAGAAGACATTGAAAAAAAAAACAACACAGTTTTATTTGTTAAATTAAGAAAACCGTAATCTGCCATGCTTTTGGAAATGTTTTAGCTAAATTTAAATTTGCGATAAACGCTGTTATTTTTCTTAGAAAATATGATATTTTATTAACGATAGTATGAGTGATTGGGTGGCCTTTCGATAGGCTATTGATAGACAATCGGCAAGACTACTGTACTGACCAACTGGATTGTAATTACGGCACTGTAATTACGACACTTTGACCTCAGACGACTCGACCTTCATTAGTCAATCATGAAATGAAAACTTAACCCCAACCACAATTAATGGCACCTAAATTTATTATTTGTAGAAAAAAAATCCTTCAACGATTTATTATTGAACACGTGAAAAATCTTAATCGATTTTTAGCCTTCAATGTCACCTCCTTACACATCCTTACTCCTGCGCCGCGATGATCTTCCGACTCTTTCTTGCAAGTGAAAGCCGCCGTGCGATACGTCTTGCGTCTCACTCGCACTACACGTGCCGGTTCCATTGTAAGACCTTTCGTTGACCTTCAAAGATTAAACAGTGCGTTGGGCACATTTCTTTAATGCCTAAGGTTTTTTTTCAATGGTGTCTTATTTTTAGTTAAGGTATTTTTAGTACACAATATCGTGATTTACGATGATAAAATTTAGATGATTACCTACAATTTCTCATTTTCCTTAATCAAAGTTATCAAGTTTAATGATTCGTTCCTTCATACATTTCAGCCGAATGACGTCCACAATGAACGGTCCTGATTATTCAGTTTATTTGAATAAGTAAGTTACAGTCAATGAAGTAAAATAATTCTTGACCACTTTGTTTACTTTTACTTATCCAAAATCCAAATCGAATCAAATAAGGTAAGGGAGTATTTGACTTGTGCTAAATCTTTTTAGATGGACTGATTTTCCTGGGGGATTGCTTAAGGTTTTTGCCTCTCAGAGACAAACTTTTAGGCAGAAAATTATAATGAATTCTGTCATTTGTTTTATCTACGCTAGTTTGTCGTACTATTAATTTTCAGGGGTGTCACGACGCAATTTGGCGACAAAAACTGAATCAGCTGATTACTCAATAATGGTACCTTTCCCAGACTTTCTGACACCACTATAGTATTTATATGACTATGTTAACATGGGCTGGTCTCGGCTCATATACCCATTTACCTAACACCCTGTATACTTATAATAAAATCTGTAGAGAGGTCAATTCTGTACATTAAATATATTTTCAAAATAACTATCAGGGGGTGATTAATGATCGATACTGATGCCAAAAATGCAATCAGTAAAATTTTTGTCTGTCTGTCTGTATGTTCCTTATAGAAACAAAAACTACTCGACGGATTTTAACGAAACTTGGTACAATTATTTTTCATACTCCTGGGCAGGTTATAGGATACTTAAGAATTCCTACGGGAACGGGAATTAGCGGGAAAATCCTTTTGTATGAAAAATCTAAACCGCTTAAGTTAGACGCTTGAAATTTGGCATGCAGGTACTTTAGTAAATTTAAAGCTTAGTTACAACAGGATATTGTAAAATTCCTACGGGAACGGGAGTTAGCGGGAAAAAAAAATTGTATGAAAAAATCTGAACCGCGTAAATAGATGAAGGGGGGGGGGGGTAAAACGAAATCCACGCGTACGAAGTCGCGGGCGGTCGCTAGTTATTTATAAGATTACAAGAAATGCGAAAATAAGCTTAATATTAAGTAAATTAATGACAGCCTGAACTTTATTGGACGTTTTCAATTAAAACCTGTCTGTCTCTGAAAGTATTTTGATTTTCTTAAACGAACAAACGAATAATTCTATCAAACAAATTAATATTTCCAAGAAGTGATCTAATTTAGCTATTTTCGACTCAATAAAGCAGCTGAAGATAAAATGTTTGAAAAAATAAAGCGGCTGAAGGCACTCACCATTTTTAGGTAAAAATACCTAATTGATTTTGCTTTACGCGTTGAAGATGTAAGCTTTTAGTAATGTAGTAAATTTTTAAGCCCTTACGGTGTTATTTTCCCAGTTCGATTAGGAGTGGCAACACAAAAAACAGTGTTATTTCTGTAACGCAGTCGCCACACAAAACCTGCCGCGCTGATCTGCCGACTTTTGACATGACTGTTCATTGTCAAGTTTTGTGTATAGAGTTCTTAACAGTAGATTAATCTAAATATATATAACTCAAAGGTGTCTGACTGACTGACTGACTGATATAGTGATCTATCAACGCACAGCCCAAACCACTGGACGGATCGGGCTGAAATTTTGGTATGCAGAAAGATGTTATGACGATGTTATGAATATGATATTTTACGAAACTTCACCCCTAAGGGGGTAAAACGGGATCCACGCATACGAAGTCGCGGGCGGCCGCTAGTAATGAATAAACATATAATTTTGAGATAACTTGGTTAATTAATTTACAAAGTTTGAATACCAACTAGACATTTAAATGAAGCTTAACTTATAAACATCAAGCCAATCGCAGAGGTATTTACAACAAAAATGTACATGGTGGTACAAAACCATAAATAAGAACTCTAAGTACTTTGAGATAAAAAGTTGATATATAGCAAGAGTATACAGCGCACGAACCAAAGACCTAATGACCTGGAAAACATATGTAACTATGTAATGAAAAGCTATAAGTTCGAGTAAAATCTAATATTTTTATTGTGGTAAGACCAGAGTCAAGAATCTAAGGGTGGATTCGACCAGAGTAAATATTAGTCTCAGAGTCTTGTGAATCGGCTTATTCCACTATTCCCCATTGACAATCCCCGTCAACGGGGAATAGTGAACTTTTTGTTCACTAATCCCCGTTAACGCCAATTGGGAGCTGATAATGGGGAATAATGAACTAACAAGTTCATTAATCCCCGTTATATTAGGATTTTATTTTTTATGTAATGGGGATTAATTAACTTTTTGGTTCATTATTCCCCATTATAAGTTTTATAAACTCCAATTGGCGTTAAAGGGGATTAGTGAACAAAAAGTTNCTGATAATGGGGAATAATGAACTAACAAGTTCATTAATCCCCGTTATATTAGGATTTTATTTTTTATGTAATGGGGATTAATTAACTTTTTGGTTCATTATTCCCCATTATAAGTTTTATAAACTCCAATTGGCGTTAAAGGGGATTAGTGAACAAAAAGTTCACTATTCCCCGTTGACGGGGATTGTCAACGGGGAATAAGCCTTAAAATCTACTCTTCATTTAAGCTTGTGCCCTCAACGGGTATGATCCGCAAGAACTCCCACTTGCGCATCGGGCGCTACCACCAGCATCTGCACGAGTTGCTAGACCTGGATCTGTCTCCCCTGGAGTACATGATGAAGGAATTCCCCGAGGTGCGCGAGCGCGAGGAGATGAGGAAGATCATCGGCCGGTACGGACTCACCGGCAGGCAACAGGTTAGTGCTTTTTTTTTATCTACACCGCGGAAGCTCTTGGCCTGTATCTCACCTGATGGTAAGTGATGATCAGGCCGAAGGTGGAAGCGAGCTTTACACTTCAGTTTAAGGATGTATTATATGACTGGGAAACGGAACGTAAAAGAGTGAAAGAGAAGGAAGAGTGTGTGAGTGTGACGTACGACGATTCAACAGTTTTCGGACGACGGATCAACACCGTATCGCCTTTCGCGCGCTATCAAACGCGAGGCCAGTTTACGTTAGGGTGCGTTGCAGTATGGAGTTTCATACAACGAATACGATTAGGGCTCCTGCACATGACGCCGCCACCGCGCCGTCGCCGCGCCGCTACACTGTTTATACGCGCCGCGTGAACACCGCTGCCGCGCCGCCCCCGCGCCGCGGGCGAAATTATGCTTTGATGGCGCGGTGGCGGCGCGGCGGCGGTTTTACTCGGTGCGTATGAACAGTGCAAAGGCGCGGCGATGGCGCGGGGGCGCGGTAGCGGCGTCGTGTGCAGGAGTGCTTACGATCCTTTTCCTGGTTGATAAATGTGCGATGACCTACCTCTCTGTCCTCCAGGTGTGCCCCATGCGTCAGTTGTCGGACGGGCAGCGCTGCCGCGTGGTGTTCGCGTGGCTCGCGTGGCAGACGCCGCACCTGCTGCTGCTCGACGAGCCTACCAACCATCTGGATATGGAGACCATCGACGCGCTCGCCGACGCCATCAACGACTTCGACGGAGGCATGGTGCTGGTCAGCCACGACTTCAGGCTGATCAACCAGGTCTGCACTTTTGGTGACTTTACTCCGCTCTGATTAAAATATCTTACAGCTTACGATACAGGATTTCGAGAGACGTCGTCTTGTTAGCGTCCGCGCCGCGATGCCGACGCAACATTTTATGGGAAAACGTTGCAGCTGCGTTCATTTTGACCCGACGGCAGAAGCCAAAACGCATTCAGTTTAGCAAATCCTTGAACGCTTTCGGTATCATGGTTCGACGGCGAAAGTGTACTATTGCAACGAGATTAAAATCACTGAAATATTTTCTACACTCTCTTTCATGTTGATCACTAACATTCCACCCATATCTTTGCAGGTCGCTGAAGAAATATGGATATGCGAGAACGAGAGAGTCACAAAGTGGGAGGGAGGCATCCTGAAGTACAAGGACCACCTCAAGTCCAAGATCCTAAAGGAGAACGCAGACAACGCGGCCAAGATCCGCAAATAGTCATGATCGTGTTACCCTAGACGTAATGTTAGGTACTCGTTGCCGACCGTCACCGAGCCCACACTAAGCAGCCTTAGCACATGCATACATATACGTACGTCAATAAAATCATAATTGCCAGGTCTAACTAACAAATAAATACCATTTTTCCGAGTTCGTAGACTTAAATCGACTTTTGAATCCTATTCAAGTTAACATCACTATTGATATTGTAAATTTTAACTTTTAGAATAAAATCAGTAGTTCCAGAGACGGCCTCTATAATGCCTTATAATATAAGTAACGATAAAAGCAATATTACGTGGTCTTAATTCTTTGTGGGACTACTGAAGAATGATTTAAAGTGCTTTTGAATGTATTGCCATGTTAAGAAAACTATTGGCTCACACAATCTGCACAACGAAGTTAGCGAGAGCTTTAAAATCATAAACAGTGTCTTATAATATGTTTGGTGTTGTGCGGTGTGGTCGGGGACAGTCGCGGAATGATAATGTGATGGACAATTAGGATTGTGATTCCTTAAAGCTGCCTATTTTGAATTCTTAGAGGTATTATTACTCATGATGTCGCCGTTTGCGAGATAGTCTATTTGGGATACACTCGAACTGAAGGCAAGTTTGAAACTGCCGAGTACCTAGGAGTAGGAAATTTATTTAAAAAAATTACCTAATCAAATGTAGGGGCATTGGGGAATAATGTATGTTTTGTATGGTTTTTTTTATATTGAGCAAGACAAAAAGCTGCACATCTTATTGCCTTATGCTTTCATCAAGAGCCAGTTGCTTATGCATAAAGCTAATGCTGTATATGAAGCAATTTTACATAGGCGTGCTAAATAGTGCAATAATATGTTTTGCACAGTTTTATAAGAAATTTTATTTAACAAAATAATATTATAGTGATGAATTGTTGTCAACCAGGGTGAGTGGTTATTGATTACACCGCGTCTCTTCGAATAATCTTAGACGCTTCTTGAAACAGAGAGAGCTAGTAGTGATTACAATACAGTTTTATTAGCAAAATTACTTTCTATTACACTAACCAAGAAGAAGCTATGATAGATAATGATATAGAAGTGCTCTTGGCTTATAGGTGCAAAAATTTAACTAATTTCAACTATTACTGCCTAAGTGTATATTTTCTACATCTAAATTGTTTTTAAACCGTTTAGTGTACGTATGTAAATTACGAGTATACATAATAATATATTTTGTCATGTTGTAAATTAGCATCTAAATGAAATGTATTATTGACTATCCCCTTAGTTCTGATGAGCTGGTATTAATCCGTATCCATGAATTAACTTTATCCTCGGAATGGGGGCGACAATAATAAAAGGCTATATTAGTTCGTAGGAATACTGTGAATCCATTAGAATGGTCGACCTAAATTAGAAGAAAAAAATCTTTGTTTAATATACAATTGACGTGCGTTAATGACGTGAAACTTTATTAAGCAATATTCCCCTATCATTATATTAATCACAATTTTGAAACTTTAATAAACAATATTACCCTTTATTATTTTATTAATCTTAATTTTGAATCATTGATTTATTTATCCATTAGGTACTATGTAATTGTAAGTTGAATTTAGATCTTGACATTTTATTTCTGCCTTTGCTAGGGGTTCATCGTGATTTACATGTTGCAGAAAATAATAATAAAAATTCTGTGATTTTCTGTTAGATAAATAAAACATCTGATTTTGATGTGTGAAGACTGAGAGGACCATTACTATGTACTTTTATTTATTGACGTATTGTCGCCTCCACTCTGTATGAGAATGTTTTATGTGTCTGAAAAAGATTGTCAGTAAACGCGACGTATATAATAATCCCTTATATTCTAGTGTACTGTATTAACTTTCGGTAAGTAAACACTAGGCGTAATTACAGCTAAAAATAGGTAGCAAACTATGCCGGTACTACTTAGTTTTGGATCACATATTATAATTTATACTGTGAATATGTTAACATCGCCTCTCCAATATTTATTAACCTATATTAGTGGTAGTTTTATATATTTTTTCACATTTAGTGATATGTATACACGTGACACCAGAAAATTCCACTTTAAAATATGCTGCCGCAGTAGTCGATAATAATATGTTTACACTTTACACAAATAAAGGAGTTTTAACGTTTGTAATCTGTTTTAAATATACACATTATCATAAAATACAAATCAGATTAGCTGTAGAAGTAGTTTTCACCAGAATGTCTAAGATTATAAATTCAATATACCAATATTCTACTATTAGAAGCATAATTCTTTAATATTCCATAGCAATTAAGAACATAATTATATCTTACATTGGACAAGCATTTTGATGTACACTGTTAACATACGTGTCAAACACAACAGATTTACTAAAGCCTTCACCATAAGTGCATTATACATAGATTTTCATAAGAATGTGTTGTCAGGAAATGTTATTCGTTGATCGTTTGTAAATCGCAATCAAGCTTCGTTGTTTCACTAAAAGTGCGATTAATTAAAAACAAGCATTCGTTAGTTGCCTACGTGAATCATAAATTGTTATTTTGTTAATCGGAGAACAATAAATTGAAATATGCAACGATACAAATTGAATGGTATTAGTTGTAATATGTTGAGCATTTTCATCGTTAGCCGGTCGCGGTGACGGCATAGCAGTAGCTTGTCTAATTTTATTGAAATATCAGCTATTTATGTCCTTCATCTTGGGATGACATTGCCGCTGCCGTTACCGTCTAATTAGAAAACTAGGATCCTTAGTTTTCAATTAAAAGTTGATTCAACAACAAAAATAATAATAAAACTAGCTGACAACATAGTTCCAATAAGTGGCTTAAAATAAATCTGTTATTAAACGTCAAATTTCAATGTTAAAGACACTCCTTGCATAACAGGACTACATTTGCTGTTGACTGTGCAGCCCTAAACGTTAAAACTACGTGTGTTCAAAATATAAGCAATAAATACCTGTGTCATTGAATAATATTGTCCTAATCTACATTTTCAGAAATATTTAATGTGATCAATCTGTGCAGTTCCATGTTGTGTATAAACTGTAACCATCACGTTTTTGTTATTAGCAAAGTTTTATGATAGACTAAGAGCTAGTGAACGCCAGACCTACGTCATTTTATAAAAGCTGAAGTTTGTCCGCGTATGCTCCCAATATAGGATAGAATGTTGGTGAATCATGAAGTTTGGGTCATCGTGGCTTTGGCAGCTATCCTAAAAAAACAGTCTGGCAACTGGTAAAGTCTGGATTTGGAACTGTCAAAACTGTCTGGCTGATGAGGAAACTACGTTATACCATAAAATCTTATTTTTATGTTTAATATTTGGGCAATGATCAGAAATTGTTTCCACATCAGCGAGCAAAACTGACAAACTTTCAGCTTTTATAAAATGACGTAGGTCCTGGAGTTCACCAGCTCTTAGTCTATGAGAAAAATGTATAAAAGTTCAAAAACCATGCACTTATTAGAGTACATTTCTAAAGCAATATTTCTTACTATACCAAAGTAAAGGGTCATAAGACATGGTCAAAAAATGTATATGTACGCATTCTTCTTCTTTTCTAGTAATAAAAAATGTGATGATTGTATTGTAATTTCTGGTGGCTATTTTTCTGCATCGTCGAAATAAAATCATGCCCCAGTTCAAATACGTGTGTTATTTTCACGCCCTAATTTCCTCCATAATATAGTTTGAGAAATTGGCAACACAAATTATTGTACTATTTTCCTGCATATTTCTCACACACAGGCTTCGGAAACTGTTTATAGAAAGAAACTTATTGTCAAAAACACACATTCGTAGATGAAATAACATTATTGGTGCCCGCAGTCATCGCACTTTATAAGCCAGTAGAATTAAACACTAAAATGAATTAAATAGGGAATAATTCCTATAAAAGATTTTATTGCTTTAATAGCTTCATTGGTAAGTATTATCCGGGATATTAGGATTTTATTTTGAACGTAATGGGGATTAATGAACTTTTTAGTTCATTATTCCCCATTATAAGTTCCAATTTAATGTTAACGGGGATTAGTGAACAAAAAGTTCACTATTCCCCGTTGACGGGGATTGGGGAATAAGCCAGCAAAAAATAGTGGATTCTAAAAATTATTATGTGTTCTCATTTTATTGGTATAAATGAAATATGCACATTTTCTTAAATTATTTATTAAACATCTCCACTCGGTGTCAAATAAATCGCACCTCTCGCGACTAGCACTTTCAAACGTATGCATACCCACTTCCCACCAACATTGGTACCATTTGAAAGCCTAGTTCTAAACTAAGTTGGTTCCAAATTGTTGCTTCGCACATACCTACATAATGATCCTGTCATAAAGATAAAAAAGGAAGGAATAATTGTAATTTTAGAACCACCAATCAGAAGTGTTTTTTTAAGTAATCGTAGAAATATATTTTCCGCCATTTATCAAACGTATTTTTGTCTCGTGTGAATGAAGGCTTTATGAAGGACCACTATGTGTAGAAACGATCCAACTATCAGGATTCAAAATATCTTGTCAAATGGTCACTTTAATATTTACATACTAGTTGTAATAGCAGTAATAGTTACTTTATTATTTATTATAAACAAACTGTACAAAGAAGCAGAACTGTCATTAAAACTACATTATCTGCTGTTCAACTACTTATACAGAAATCCCGATTTTTTGTTGCTGTCGACGATTTTTGCAGAACAACGTACTATTTGACTATGTTTTTTTATGAATAGTTTATTATTAAGTCAATAGACTGATTATGCAGTTTCAAGGACTTTTCTGCTTTCTTGTACACACTGAATTGATAGACATTTGGTAAAAACATTTTGTCTTTATGACAGAAATAACAACAAACGATTACTAATATTTGGGACGCTCGATTCCCAAAAACAATCACACTAACCTTAGATAAAACACATACGCACTATTAAAGTTTACTGCCGAGCTGTGGTTTATTTATCAATCTATTGATACAGTATACTAAGTGCCTTTTTCCTGTGATGCGGATTTCGGAACGCATGCGGATCTGGTCTCTAATCTGTGGCGTGCGCATATAATCACGCAGCTGGTTGCGTACGTGTAAAGCCCGGTCGCCGAGCACGTAGAATTTCGTCCATTGACCCCAAGCTACCCATCCTTATCGCTCGCGCGTAATTATGTAGCCCGCGTAATAGGAAAAACATGTATAAAATAATGAAATGCGGTCAGCACGCATGCGGTCGACCAGTTCATTAATTAAAAACTCTGGTTGCAGACTAAAAAAAAACTAAAATATTCCTTTTTTTATGGATAACAAGACAGGTATTTGACCGCAATCTCACCTAGTGTTAAGTGAGATAAAGTGTAGGATTATCATTAAATATCCTGAGCTTGTTCCATTCCAGGTCATGCATATTTTTCTATAACTGATTCGAGTGAACATACAGGATGTCCCAAAAACAATGGATAACCCTGGAACCATCGATAGACTTCTCCATGGTCTCCCTAACGTCCAATTTTGACCCCAGTAAAAATTTCACCGTTTTCAAGATTTTTAAGATTTTGTGCATTTTTAGAAAATTGCCACCTGCGATTACTTTTTCTCATGCCATTTCTACAAATGAGGATACTTTTCAATCTAGTTTTTTTTTCTTATCACAAGGAATAGCTGGGCTATCAAAAGAAAATTTTGAAGTTCAACAAACTAGTTTAAAAGTATGAAAATTTTAAGAAATTGCAGAGAAGAAGGAAAGGTTAATTCATTGTCTTGCACTTTTGATCAGCCATCGTGTAAAAATAATGTAGGAAGACCATCGTGCCCATTACCTTAAAAACTTCCTTGGTTAATTGAGATTCTAAAAAGGTATCACAAGCCTATGTATTCTGTATTATTTTTATTTTATGGCTACTTGAATAGCAACTAGTGTGAAAACTGCAAAAATGAGTTTTTCTCGTAATAGTTAAACTAGGACTGCATAGTGGCCTTAATTTGAAAGAACTCTTAAGTAGTGGTTTCTTACGGGCATTATAAGTGCCGGACTACTAAGAAAAATCAACATTAACAATTATTTTATTTGAAAGTGATTGTATTCAGTCTTTTAGCAACCTATATTTCTATAAACTAATAAATTACGGTACTTAACCACAGCCCGGTGTAAACCTTTATTGCATTACATTGTATACTTATACACCTACGCCCGTATGAACCAATCACATAGCTCTGTTGCGGCGCTTCTTCTCAGCACTTGCCAAATGTTGGTCTCGAAGCGCTGGTAGGGTAAAAAGATTATGAGACATGTAGAGGCTCCTTAAGAGCAAAATGACGATTTGTAAGAACTATTTATTAGTCTAAACAAATAAAGAAATTTTGACTTTGACTCTATTCAACGCTGTGCGTTCCATTTTCTGCTTCACTTAAGCAAGCATTGTTTGTGAATACGGGCGTAAGTCACTATCAGTTAAATTGCAATTCCATATGTTTCATTATGTTTTATGATTGAATTTGAATGTAGTCGGATTTATGATTTTACTTCAAAATTCAGTCATAATCATAAACTAAAACATTTGAATTTTAAATAACAATTGAAGGCTATTCCTTCAAAATACTATTATTAGAAATGGTCGTAGTTATAATTAGATTGACTGGTATTTCGATTATCTAGTAACTCGTTATATTTGTATTTTTTCTATTCAACTTGTCACTAAATTACATAATTAATGTTTTATTAATGACTAGTACAAATATAGTCAAAAATTCGAATGAAAAACTTAATTTGCAGATTCGTAAAACAAGTATCATTACATTTAAGTAGTTGGTAATCCTAAATTATGTGAGATTTTATAGTAATTTCATACGCTATTCGAGTTATATGAAACAGTTCCGTTAACCTTAGAGGTTTTAATTTTGATACTATTGACAGTGGTAGTGCAAATTTCCTTTTCAGTTCATACAATAATTATATTTACATAAGTTCGCCTTCAGTCATTTTTATCACTAGTCTAAAGAAAACATTCGCCTTTCAACGAGAGCTACATTTCCCTATGAATGGTATTGCTAAGAAGGAGTATGGTGGCAATTTTGCTGAGCCAATACTAATCTAAATATTTAGAAGAAAGGCAGAGACACAAACACCTTAAGAATAGAAGTAGCAAAGTAAAATAATTGTGGAATCCGCCATATTATATCAATCGTGAATTTAGAATTGTTTTTAAAAGCTTTTCTTAATTTGCCAATGAGAAATATTATACTTAATTAATTTTAGTTTAAGACAAACAAAATTGCCACTAACGCCATTTAAAAATCGCCATCGCAAAAAAACAACACGTGTAGTTGTAAAACTAACGAGATCTGCCCAACGGTTTTTTTTAGGAAACAACATTTTATACACCGTTGAGTTTAATTCTAAAAATGATGTGACCCTGAGATCTCAACAGAACGGAATTTGATTTGACACACATAAATTATAACTTATTGACATAAATGAGCGCAGCGTGAAACAATTTCTTCGCTAAGAGCAAATCGTGCCTGCGTATTTTTGGAACTTACCTACCCATAGTATCCACATTACTTACAGAGTCCCAGCGCTTTTTGTTTACTTAAGGGTAAAGGTAAATATATTTACCCTTTAGTAAGCACAGATTTCTTTGTCACAGACTTCGGAGCCAAAAAGTTCGTGACGTCGCGAAGTACGCGTCGGAAGGTATTTCTACAGACCTATTAATCGATAGGTAAGTCCAAAAATCCGTAGGAACATTTAGAACCTGTAACAGGATGATTAAATATCTTCAGATTTAAGAAATTGTTACACTTATTCGAATGAATACATTTATATAAACTCAATACACCGTTTTAGCGGCGACTGCTTATTCGAGTTACAACATCCTTCTGTAGAGAAGTCCTACACTACGTTTACCATCAATTTGTTATCCATATTATCAGCAAGTTTAGTCCGTGAATCTGAAAAAAATAACAAAAAAAGTATTCATAAGGCACCAATTAATTACAGGATTTGCTTTACTTCTCCAATCTTAAAACTAATTTTAAATACCCGAGTAATTTCTTATGTTGAAATTAAAAAAAACAGGAATTAATTCAATGACTCCATTGAAATAATCGTGTGTTTGCGTAGTCCAGTTAATGGAAACTCTGGGTAAAAAAATTAGCAAATTCTTCTTTCATATTTGAAAACCTAAAAACTTCAAAAAGGTTGTCTGAAACGTAACCTCAATCCGAAAAGAAGTAAGGGTTGGGCGCCGCCGGCCGGAACTTGTAGCCGGTCATCACGAAGAACACGAACGTGGCCGTCTCGCGGAACATCTCGTCGATCCACGACAGCTGGAACGGGACCGTGATCTGGAAACAGCGATACGCTCCGTCAATACTTGGTTGATACATTTTTAATCCTTTATTCGGTTAAGGACAGATTCTGTTTAGGACAGATTCGGTTTACGACAGATTCTCTATACGACAGATTCGTTTTAAGACGGATTTTGTACAGTCAAGAAAAAATGTTTTTTATAACCAAC